AGGGGCATGAGTGTGTTTGGATTTGCTGTGTCCTGTAAGGAAGCAGTGGAATTTGCAGAGTTGAGCTCACACATTGAAGTTATTGAGCGCCTTACACAAAAGGCCACGACCTGGACTCCCAGCTGCGAGGCCCACGTGGCAATGCTCAGGCCTGGGGAGCTGAGGACAGCTCACATCTCATCTGCTTACGTAACCCTGCCTCCCAGCTTTCGGAGCCAAGAAAACACACAAGCCAGCCCAGCGGGGCTGAGAGCCTGTGGAAGCTCATGCCATGCGCCACGCAGCAAGGGGGCCTTGGCCCAGCCTGAGGATTCTCATGAAGTTCTCAGGCTCTGGCTGCCTCGTGTTCCTCTTCCTGTGTCTCAGTGGTTCTGAGAACTGCTCGCAGAGGCGTGTGTATGTGAATGGTGTCAGTCCTTGCCTGCCTGCCCGGAGTCCAGCTCCTCGGGTTTCCTTGTTGAGGTAGAGCTGGGTGTACAGTGGAGGCTAGCCCTGGGGTGCAGCACAAGGTGCGGCTTCCTGGCTGACCCCGGCCCCAAGAAGGCATTCACCTCTGGGCCTGGTGCTGTTGTGTGTTCTTCACGACAGAGGTGTGAGCTGCAGGATTCCCAGAATGTGGGGGTGTCAGAGAGGTGGGGGGGGGGAGAGTTGCCATGTGGTAAGCGGCGTCGGGGTGAGGTGCTCTCAATGTATTGGAGGTGTGGTGGGCTACAGAGGGGAGCTGGAGGGTGAAGAAAGGCTGAGCCGTGGCCAAGCGGTGTGGAGCCATTAGAAGAGCGCATGCCTTGGGCAGCTGGAAACCAGGGCAGTGTTCAGTTATATTTAGTATATACCCAGTGGGGAGCTTCTGGGAGGTGGGAACATTCTTGTCTGGCCTCTTTCTCTAGTTCCCTCAACTTACCCTTCTTGGACTGGCATACAGATTCGCACTCAGTTGGTACAGAAAGCACTGACTGACACAAATTGAAAACATGTTCTTGTCTTATCACAGGGAGAGTTTGTGTAACGCAGACATTTCAGGATAAAGGCTGGTTTCCTTCTTGGTAGGCTCCCAGGGACTCGGTCGGCATGCTGTTCATGCCTGTGTGCGTGCATGCGCAAGTCTGTGACAGAAGCCAACAGAAACAGGGAGAGAGAGCGCTGGAGTTGGGTAGGAAGAGGAGGGGATGGAAGGTAGACTGCCCATGTCGGCTCCCCCACTGCATGGACAGCAGTGTCGTGGCCAGGGGAGCCCTGGAGGAGAACACGTTAGAGGGTAGGTGCTGAAGGGTAGCAGTGTGTTATTTGGGGTAGTTTGATTAAGGTGTCTGTGGCACCTGGGGAGCCAGCAGAAAGCTAGGGAATAGAGACAGAATTTGGGGAATGGTCATTGTTTAAATCAGAGATCCGAGTGAAAGGGAGAGTGATTGTTATCAAGATTGTTATCAAGGAGAGAGGCTGAGAGGCTTGGGTGGTGAGGTAGGGGACATGAGAGGATGGTGTGTGGTAACTAAGGCTTCCTCCTGCCTCCTCTCCCCATCCAGGCATGCATTCATTTCTTCCTTTCTGCTTGGTCATTCATCCATCTTGGAATCAAGGAAGGTGAGATTTTCAGGAGATCCTAGCTTGGGGTCTGTTCTTCCTAGTTTTAACCAGCACTCTGAGCCTGTCAGGTGTTTGTGAGACCTTAGAGTTCATCTAGTCCAATTGTTGCAGTTTATGGATGGGAAAATAGGTACCCTGAGAGTAGATGGAAATTGTCCGAGGCTCACCCAGTAAATCACTGATGCAGCCACACTGGCGTCTGGGAATCCCCTGTCTTATTTGGGGCTCTTAACCTCAGCATCTTTCCGCAGGGGCAACATGGGACACTTCACCTTGCAGGTGTACCCTTGGAGAGGCTTGGCAGACCACATGTGAACTCCTGTCTTCTGGGTTGGTTTCAGAAAGTGTAAGCAAGCTGGTAGGAAGGCAGCCCAGCTGCCTCTTGGGTTCTTGTAAATAGGGTTATGTTTTTTAGTATTTCTAGAACCAAAGGGTAGTATAGGGAACAGATGGTGTGGGGCCCCCTGAAGGAAGAAGAACCCAGTGAAGGGTCATGAGTTCCCTGTACCTTGAGATCTCTCAGAGGTCTTGTCCTAGGATTTAGAGAGCTGAGCCTCTAAACCTAGTAGGTCTTGTGGGAGAGTGGGGATCTCTAGGGACCTTCATTGCTAGAAAGTTTCAAGGCTTGTGAAAACTGGCCATCAAGCTCTCTGTTGTCCACTTTGCCCAATAATTACTATTTGGGGGCTGGGGAGATGGCCCAGTCAGTACAGCGCTTGCTGCAAGCCTGAGGACCTGGGTTCAGATCCCCAGTACCTAGGCTTGGCAGCATCTGTCTGTAGCCCCCGTGCTACAGGGGCAGGGAGCAGGAATGGGGACAAGCCCATCCCTAGAACTCAGCCTGGCTCAATCAATGAGCTCCAAGTTCAGTGAGGGACTCTGTCTCAAAAATTAAGGTGGAAAGCAATGCGGGGGGGGGGGGGGGGTGCAGGGAGGTAATGTCTGGCCTCCACACATCTTACACACCCATAGGAACACATATGTACACAGCATACAGACACATTTAAACCAAAATCTACTGGGCTTTTTGTTAATTATCCACTTCTGGCCCTCCCAAGGTCAGCTGAGTTGAACCGAGATTGTGTGTTGGTGCCAGTTACCCCAGGAAATTCTGCTGATAGGACTGAGGTGGATTGTACCAGGTGACCACTAACCTAGTCCTAGAAGAGAGTGCCTGCTCCCACCTCAGGGCATCTTGGGAGGTCAGAACTGGGACAGCAGCAATATTGTTAAAAACTGGTTCTGCAAGACCCCTAGCCTCCAAAAGGGAGGTCAAAGCCCAGATTCGAGGCACAGCTTTTCTGAGGCTCCGCTTCTTGACTGAGCTCTGTGGTCTCAAGAGATGAAGTTCTATTGAGACCCTGCCTGTCAGTGCAAAAGTTATTTGGTTCAAGGAGAGTAGGAAAGGCTAAGGAAATCGGCACCAAGATGGGGAAGACAGCTGAGCGGTAGGCCTTGTTGCCTAGCCAAAGCGTTTGGCCTCATTTTGTGTAAGCCCAGACAGCTTTCACCATGAAGGTGATAAGATTAGAGCTGTGTCTCAGAAGAAAGTGAACTAATGGAAACAGGTCCTGTGATGAAGGACGGAGAGATAAGATTGAGGAGGTTCCCAGGAAAGGGAGAGGAGGTGGCCGCTGTCCAGAGCGTTTACCGGGCACGGGAGCAGCTCACGGCTTCCTTTGCTAGAGGAAGATTTGCGGAGGGCAGATGCTCTCTGGGCATGTGAGCTACGTTGTTTTTTAATAAACAGGACAGATTGGGGCCTGCACAGCGGTGGGCAGGAGCAGTGGTGCTCACTCCTGTATTTCAGGTGACTGATCTGTGAGTATCCCTCCCGTAGAGGGTCGTGTCGTCGTGTGTGTGTGTGTGTGTGTGTGTGTGTGTGTGTGTGTGTGTGTGTGTGTGTGTCCCGGTCTTCTGATGCCTAGTTTGTTTCAGATGTGAAACAAATGACGTTCCCCCAGTGACAGCCTTAGTTCAGTGGTGATGTGGATTTAGGAAATGGTGAATTCGTGAACTGCAAGGGGTTTCTCCACAGCACAGTGTTTTCAGTGCCTTGGGTGCGGCAGCTCCCGTCCCGGCTTGTCCCGGGCAGGTAGTTCTCCACTGAGCACTGTGAGCCTGGGCTTGTGGTCCTCGATCTCTCCGAGTCCCTGTGAGAGCCTGGACCACTGGGTACACTCCACGGGCTCCTTCCTTGCCTCTGTTCCTGGCCACCATGTCAGAACCAACTGTCTGCCTTTCCCTCGAAGCCAATCACTTTCTTACTGGCCCATTTCTCTGACCAGAGGACACAAACTCTGGAGCCATCCAGACCTTACCTTCTTGGTTCATATACTTTATCAGCCACTATTAGGAAGTGTTCTCTCTCTCTCTCTCTCTCTCTCTCTCTCTCTCTCTCTCTCTCTCT